TTGCTGGTCTTGCTTGTTCCCCCTCTTTGGTTCCTGTGGGTAAAAGGGAGCTGCAGAATTGTGTCCTAATTGTTATTAAAATGGTTTTTAATTGCATCGAGGTAATGCTAAGCTTTAGCAATGTTTTGGTATTCTTAATTACATGTGAGACCTTCTTTGCCTTCTTGTAACGTGAGTATTTCCACTATTGGTTCACAGAACAGTTCATCAGCTTTAGTGAGGAGAAAATCTAAATGTCAGTAGTTGATTTGAACAGCTGGGGAATGAAACATCCTCAACTCAGCAGTCATGGCAATCCCCACCTTTCTGTGCTACATGACCCACTTGTTTAACCTGTGAACCTCTTCAACCTTTTGAACTCTTGATTGAAGATCTTGATCTGTATTTATAATTAAAAGGTTTTTTATCTTTCAGCTTTCTCAGCAAATGGGATAGGTAGCATCAATCCTGAGGAGAATAAACTTTGCTGTGAAGCAGAAACAAAACTCTGGGAGTCCAATCTTACACTGAAGTGCCACACTGAAATGTCAGGTGCAGAAACTAGAAAAGCAACAGCTGGTATCGTTGGTGAGGAAATTCCAGGTTAATCTCTCCACAAGTTTTTTTTTCCATTTGCTTTGAGAGTATTTTGCCCATAGAGCTTGATGTGAACAGAGTTTTGAATGTAGCAATGGATACAGGGATGCTGAGGGAAGGTGGTACACGATGAGCATGCAGCCAGTTCCCAAGAATTCCCCTTGCCAGTCAGGGATAAATGAGACTTTGCCTCCATATTAAGTCACCTAAACTTGTTTTAAATGCAAATTTCTTTCATGGTGGAAATCTCTGTTGTCTTCCTTAGGTGATGGACAAACAGGCCTTTAAAAACCAGTCAAAGTGCATTTCCTTAATGGCCTTTGAACCCATCATTAAGGATGGCTCTCACACCTCTTGGTTTGGGGTTTTTTCAATGAGGAAAATGTTCATAGGTATCTGTTGTGGTGGGGAGTCAAGAATAAGCTTTGAATGTTGATGAAGTCAGCATTGTTACAGGTACCTTCATTAAGATAACTTGAGCCAGAGGCTGTTTGTTCTCTCATTCAAAGGTTCCCTCTCTCTTTATCAGCTGTTGTGGGGGACTTTGTTCATCTACCAGGCTCAATTCTTCAGGGTGGTGCTTATGAGGCAGGCTCATGGCTTGGCATACCTGCTTAATTCACTGGGCTTCTCTTTATTTTCTTCTCCTCTCCAGGTAGAAGGAGCAACATTTTCATCTCCCTCACATTCCTGCTGTTCCTTGTGCTTTGTGCAGGAATGGTCAGCATGTATTGCTATCGGCGCCATCGGAACAGTCAAGGTACTGTCTGACAAATTGTTGGTTTCCTGTGGGTTCCACACCTGGTAGTGGGAAAAGCATACAGGGTTTTCTTCCTGGATCTCATCTCCATTATGCTGTCTGGATGGGTTTGTTATGAAAAATAAGCACAGAATAAATTTCCTCACTGCTTCCTCCTGAAGCGAGAAGGAAGCAATGGCAGGGCTCAGCCTTCCCTCCGGGGGATCCAGGTCCCTGGGTGGAAATAGCTGGGATAGGTTCTGTGGATTGAATAGGGAATCACATCAATAAAATCTGGAAACATCAGCCTTCCTCTGTATTATCCTCTGCTCTTCCCTCCTCCCTCCCAACATAGAGACCAGGGTGTTCTTCAAGTGAGATAATATTAAACCACCTCTAACTCCAGAAATAGTTGGGCTCCAATACAGACTGGCACTTGGGATGCAACTGTGCTGTCATATGGCAAAGCATCCCACCTGCCATTCCTGGTGGGGATTTGTGGAGAAACACAAGGCCTGTGGGTCTGTCTGAGATGGGTAGCAGTGAGTTGATCAGTAATTGCAGATAAACCTAAATTGGGAAAAAAACACCTGCAAGTCTGTTAGTTTTAGTTCTTCTAAAGAAGTCCTTGCCAATGCTGGTACTTTTTCCCTGTTGTTTCCCTAAGACTGTCACAGCATTCCATCAGATCTTTTGCTGTTAAGTTGTCTCTAGAATGTTAAAGGTTGGACTCGATGATCTTGGAGGTCTTTTGCAATACAGGCATTTGGATTACAATTCTCACTGAAATCAACCTGTGCCCTTTTTGGCCTCACAGATATTTTTCTTTCAATTCTGCAGCTCTTAGAATAAACAGACAGGCTTCAGATGAAGAGAGCCTCACACATGATTGAAAACCATCTACAAGTGAGAAGACCTCTGTGCCAGCAGCATCTTCCTTTGTCCTGATTTACAGCAACCAGCTGAAGCAACAGGGGCTAATTTCCCTGAGACCTCCTGGTCCCATATTCACAAATGGTCTGGTTTTCACAAATGCACCTTCACCACATCCACATGTTCACCAAGGACTGTGATTGCCACAGTTGTCCAGCTCCAGGCCTTCACGAGCAGCACAAGCAGCCCCCTGGATCTCTCATCCTCTGCTGGTCCTTGACTGAGGACAGCAGCCATCACAAGGTGTGTGGCTGACTCAGCAGCACAGCCTTAAACCTGCTGAATTATCTCCAGGACTGAAAACATGAATTAACCTGCAGTCCTTTAGCTTTGTGATGTGATATAATGCACACGCAGCTTTATTTTTTTAATTCTCAGGTTCTCTAGATTCAAAAAGAAGTGTTTTGTACAGGTGAATGGTTTGCCCATCAGGAATCCCTGTTTGGTATTTCATATCTTCAAATGACCATAGAAACACAGAATCAACCGGGTTGGAAAAGACCTCTGAGGTCATCGAGTCCAACCCTTGATCCAACGCCGCCGTGGTTCCCAGACCATGGCACTGATGCCACATCCAGTCTCACCTTAAACACCTCCAGGGACAGTGAATCCACCCCCTCCCTGGGCAGCCCATTCCAAGGTCTGATAACTCTCTCTGTAAAAAATTTCTTCCTGATATCCAACCTAAACCTCCCCTGGCACAGCTTAAGACCGAGCCCTCTTGTCCTACTGCTGGTTCCTGGGAGAAGAGCCCAACCCCCACCTGGCTACAACCTCCTGTCAGGGAGTTGTAGAGAGTGAGGAGGTCTCCCCTGAGCCTCCTCTTCTCCAGGCTGAGCAACTCCAGCTCCCTCAGCCTCTCCCCACAGCACTTGTGCTCCAGTCTCTTCCCCAGCCTCGCTGCTCTTTTTGCTGATTTATTGTTCACACTTGATTTAAATAAATCCTCAAATTTTGCATTAGATCTAATTTATTACTGGCCTATTGAACAAAAATTGGTGGCAGCACAATTGGTAAAGCAGGTGCCTGAACCAGTGTGAATACTTGCTGAATCATTTTCATATGGTTTAATTACCTGTAAACCTGTAGCTGAAACTTCCAGCAGGAAATCTCAAAGGACGTAGGATGTTGTGTGGCTCTTGAATTTTTCTGCAGTCAAATCTAAAGGGAAAAGTTCATAATGAAAGATGTACCAAAAATATGTTAATAATTAATTTTAGAAATACAGAAAAACCTCTGTGCTTAAATTTGTCTCTTGTTTGGAGCAGGACACCAGTGCTCTTATGGGTTAGTGGGGTTTTTCCCCTTCCTTAGTGGCAACTTTACACTCATGCTTTTAACCAACCCAACTCACAGCTTCTTTGTTGGATATTGTCTTTTCCATTTGCTTCTTCTGGAATGCAGTCAAACCTTCATGCAGAGATGGCAATCCCCAGCTATTCCAGGGCTTTTAGGTATCTCCTGTGGCTGTCGTGTTGACTGATCCAGTTGTGATGATTAATGTTATGTTTGGTTAATAAGCCCAAGAGTCCAGACTGTGCAAGAACTCTCTTTGTGCAGCTTCTTATCACAATTGCAGAGGCATTTTTTTTTTCTCAGAACAAAAGTGCTGGAGGCTTCCAAGAGCTGTTGAACAGGAGCAAGGAGCAGGTGTATTTTGGAATAAAAGCCAAGTGAGACTCTGAGATGAGCTCAGTTGCTTAGGACATGGTTCTAATAACCCTGAGGTCACGGGCTTGATGCCTGGAGGGGCCATTCACTTCAGAGCTGGACTCGACGATCCTGGTGGGTCCCTTCCAACTCAGAATATTCTGTGATTCTTCGATCTTCTTTTCAGGTAGAAGCATATCTGCTGCTGTAACCTGGTAAAGGAGCCCCAAAATCAGTTATGGGCCCCTTAATTCGTGACCCCACAGGTGTTGTGTTTGGGTCTGTTTTGCTCTGTGGGAAGTCATTGCTGTGTGAGAGTTTGAAGAAGCACCGAAGGTTCCAGCCTCTACAAGCCAGCTGTGTGCTCTGCTTCCTGGAGATGTCCTGAGGGTTTGTCATCAGCAAGTGCTTTGTGTTTTGCAGTATACATAGATAGGCAAATATTTCTATTCACAGAATTATGGAATGGTTTGGGTTGGAAGGGACCTTAAAGATCATCTGATGAAATAAAAAAAGGGCTAATGATACTAAGATGCCTGACTCACCAAATGCCATAATTTTGTAGCTGCAACTTCTTTTGACTGATTTTAGTTTTCAATTTGTGTTAGTATACTAGTGACAATAAAACAGCTCCTTAAAAACTTGGGAACCCTTTTCTGGTGGTATTGTTATTTGGTCTGTTAATCTCCTTGACAAAGCATCACCATCCCATCATTCCCAAACTCACAATCCAGTATTATTGTCATGATTCATTTCTTAAATATGGCAAAAGCAAAGACAGGGAGTAAGAGATGTCTCCTGGCATCTGCTTTTCTAGCCAGCAGTGAGCCTTTGTGGGGCTAATTGAAAGCTCATTTCACAACCTGCCTGAACTCTCTTTCCTTTACACTAATTGATGAAATTTCTGAGCATTCAAGAAATTATTTGGGAACACTCCCTTCCCCTCTGTATTCCCACAGAGAGCAGTGCCCACAAGAAGAGCTTTTCATCCTCTTGGGGAGGGAGCAGGAGCTACATGTGAGCTGTAGCTGGTTCCCCTTTGCTGGTGGTTTTCAGCTCTTGTGCAGTGCAGACACACAGAGAGGGTTGTTAAACGTGAAGCCAGGGGCACATGAGAGGTACGTCCTGTGCTGTTGTGTGGGAATTTATTCCCGTTGTCATTGCCAAGATGCAGATCCAAGCTGCTGGTTTGTGTGCAGGGCTGGTATAATAATTGAAGGCTTACCTGAAGTAATGGAGCATCTCTCATCTCTTTGTTCCTTACGAAGCCAAGACTTTTGCTTTTGCAGCCACCAATCTAAGCCTGTGGGAACAGTGACAGGTTGAACTGATTGTACCAAGCAGCCACATTTCCAGTGAGGCCACAACTGAAGGACAACTGCCTGGCTTGGGTGCTGTGAAGGGCAAATTTGAGTGAGTGCCTCTGTTCTCAGTTGTCTTCAAAGGGAAGGTGGGTGCTCACCATAGACAACTTTCTACTCCTACCCTCAGGGCTGGGAGTTGCTCAGTAGCAGGAAACCAGGGGCGGTTTTAGTGTGAAGTCAACATCAAGATACACCTCTCTGTCACATTCATTGGAATAGAAAAGCAAAAGCAGCATCCTGCTGGCTTCTTTTAGTAGAGAGCTGATGTAGCTGAAAGGCAACAGGCCAGCTTGGGGCATCAACCCTTTCCTCAGGTCTTTAACTCATCAGTCAGATTGTAGAGAGCAACTAAAGAGACCTCTGAAAATGCTGTGGATGTCCTGTCTCCCCTCTGCATCCCTCTGTCTGCTGCTCCTCCCGTGCTTCCCTGCCCAGACCGGTATGTAGGATGTAGATGCTCTTCCAGTTCAGTGTTTTCCTTCCTCTTTCTTCCTTCATTACGTTCAATCCCCCTCCCACTTTAGTCTGTTTTCTCAAACAGCTTCCTGCCAGATTGACTATTATTGAAAGCAGGTGGAACTTTGGGAAAAAAAAATATCTCTGAAATTAAAAAAGGAACTTGTAGGAAAAAAAGAAAAAAAGAAAAATTGTTATGATCTTAAGTTTTCTACAAAGCAATCATTCTCTGTAGAAATGTTGTTTTCCCAGTAATTTCAGATCAACTGTATCTGTATTTTTAAGGATGACGGGGGAGCCCACTACTGACAGAAATGAATATTTATATTTACTAGGGGCATTTTTATTGAAGGTGGAATAAAGCCTTACCAGAAATATCCACTGCTGAATGTTGCTGTGGTTATTAAGACTACAAGCTGGAGGCACACTTAGGGTAAACAGTGTGAATTTCTGAAGGGAACAGGCTGAAGAAAGAAAAAGTCTCCAAACAGTCACTTGTTTTTCTCCCTTCACCATTGACAATGGAAAGGATGGTGACTTGAGAAAAGCATATTATCCATAAATCAGTGTATCTGAAAGGAAGGTGCATTGAAACTGGTGAGAATATTCTTTAGTTAGTGGTTATTTAGGAGTCAATGCTGATTTCTGCAAATATAATTTAACTCTTGAACTTTTACCTTGATCTTTGGAGAATATGAGTAATGGGCTGCATCTGCTTGTCATTAGCTTCATGAGGTCTTAGGTCAAGGAAAAGTTTAAACTGGGTCAGTTTGGAAGTACTGATTCTTAGGTTGATGGGCTTTCCTTTCCTGATGGTAAAGGCTGAGTGCTCTGCACTTCTCCAGCCTTATCCATCACCCCATTTCTCTGCTGCTTTGGGAGATAATTGCTTGTGACTCCTGGGTTGCCTTAATTCCTTCTCTAAGTGTTGTAGGAGGAACATGCCCATGTCTGGTCGGGTGGAGTGACTTGCTGTATCTATATTCCAACAATCCACACTTTCTGTGTTTGAATTCTATGTTTGTTCCCTTATTAAATTAAATTGTCCTAAGTATGTAGGGATCCTTAATTGGCTTCTCAACACTGAACAATTCAACCTTTTCTAAACTGTGTTTGTCCTAGACATGCAGTACTCTCTATTTAATTTTTCTTCCCTTGCTCCTGGTGTAATTTCTTTTTGGTGTTTCCCATTTGAGCCCTCTGTTTTTTACTATTCATTACACAAATATTTACTGATCAGTTTATTTTGATCCTGAGGTAATTAGAGAACTCAAAGATGTCTTATTATACATTTTGGTACCTTGTTTCTTACTATAGATTGGAGTTACACCCTCTGCAGTCCACTTCCCGAGAGGCTGTATTATCCAGTTTCCTGGTGTTGCTAAATGCTCCTTTCTTTAAAAAGAAAAAAAAAAAAGGTGTATTTTCACTCCATTCTCTGTCATTTTTTTCTTACCTTTGAATTCCGGATTTAGACCCTCAAACAGCTCCAGTTGTCAGGCTGAGTTCAGTGAAGCTTGTATTTTGAGAACTAATAGGATCATTCTGAGAATCTAAACCGAGCAAACTAAATTTTTTGCATGAGTGACAGAAGACACTTTTTTGCCAAGGCCCTTTAAGCTTTGGGAAGGTGCTGAGTTGAACAGGTCAATGGGCATGAAAGGCACTACAGGGTTCAGGGCAGCCAAGAGATGACATACACAGCCTAGCAAGACTAAGGTCCAGTCCTACAGAGCAGTTCTGATGACGGAGTTGTTGGTTCTGAAAACTACTTTGATATTAAAAGATCAATAAGAACCCTGGTATTACCATCTCAATTGCATTTCTTATCTTTAGGTGGAGAAAATGAACAGTCAACAGACGTTCTCAGTGTTTGGGAAGGAGACTCCATCAGCATAACTTGCTCAATCAGTGGTTTAGGAGAGCACGTGGGAATGCACTTGAAAAGTAGCAGAAAGACAGTCAATATGATATATTTTTCCAAGGACAACCCTCCAAATATCTCTCCTGATTTGGCTGGTCGCACCGAGTGTTCAAGGGAAGGAAGGAATTACAGGACAACTTTGCACAACGTACAGGAATCTGACTCCAATATCTACCTATGCATTGAGTATGTTACAGTCAATGGCCATCACAAAATACTGGATGGGAAGAGAAGCATAGTAGTGGTGAAAGGTATTGCAATTCCACCCTTTATGTCATGAATTGTTAAATACAGATCTGTATTTTAAATCAAAGATTGGAAGCAAGCACAATGGGAGGGAGAGTCTGACAGAACTGTACTCGTGTCTGCTCAGGTGATGAACAGATTTGAAGGAAAGTGTGGGTCTGGTCCCTGAAATACTGAAGAAAGAACATTAGATAGTACAGTACCAAAAAAACCCCATCCACCCTAGAACATCAATTTGTGATTGATTTAATTCTATCTACAGGTTTTCACCTATTAGTCATAGGTAGCTGCAGCAGTTTGGAAACAGTGATGACCTAGAGCTCTTTTTCCAAAACAATCTGTGAAATCTTTATAAATAACTAGCAGAGCAATGAGTCTTTTTTTTTTTTTTTTAATAGCAGTTTTTGCAAATCTCTTTTTTTTTTTTTTTTTACTATTTCATCTTAAATGACATATTGGTAATTATTGGGAGCTGGTGCAAGGCAGGGTCTGCAAGTTGGGCATGAGTGGGTACAGGCTTTTTTCTGTTCTTAATAGTTGATGAATGGGCACAAGTGCTCCCTTTGGCAGATTTTTATGGTTGGGGGAACAATTTTTCTGTCTTTATTTTTTTTTGCATTAGAAGAGGGTTTGAGTCTCCACTATTCTTTGGCAGCTTATTCCTCTATGTACCCATCCTTCTGATGAGACCGTCTAATGAGAAATATCTTTACCAAAACTTAGAGTTTTCTTCCTTTCCTGTCCCCAAGGCACATGAAATCTAATTGATTGCTGGATCAGCGATTGTAATTTATATCCATGAGGAACTATCATGTTCTTCCTTAGGCTTCTCTTTTCAAACTTCTTGGCTCTGTTTTCTCAAATGAATTCCATCTTGTCTATTATGTACTGTTTCTTCAAATTATTTTATAAGTTACTTTATCTCTCTTTTTGATACTGATCCTCTTCTCTAAAATGCTTGCCACTTTCCTTTGATAACCATGACACATTCTGTCTTCATTCCCTCACCCACATTAATGATAATTTTAAAAGGAACAAGACCTGTCCTCAGAGGAACTCAGTGGAATGTCTTCTCAACTGGACAGCAAACCATTAATAATTACTTTTTTAACAAAATTTTCAACATTGATGGGACTCAAATTGTATGAGTTGATCCAGACCAGTATTCTCCAGATCTTCCTATGTCTTCATCTCACTGGAGAAAGCAGTCAATGATCCATGTCCAAGGACATGCTGATGAGGCTGATCCTTAGAAGGGATCAGTATATGTATTTTTTAGGTAGGTACAGACCCTTTACAACCAGGTAAACCTGTTGGTCAGTCCTAATTTCAGATCCTGAGGCAGGAAAATATGCCAGGGTGTACTAAAATATATCCTCCTTCTCAAGGCACGTGTAAAGGTAACCTGTTAAAAAATTCATTTTATCTAAATTTCCATGGTCTGTTCTTTCTGTCTGTGACCTCTGCATTTGCTCCCTAGTTAAAATCACATGATAATTATGTGATAGCCATTAATCTCTCTTGTTTTTAGCTAAAACTGGTGGGGCTTTGAAGCAGTCACCACTCTATGCCAGCCCTCAGCAAGGCCAGTCTGTCAGCATTACCTGTGTGATGAACAGCTCACGTGGGGACGAAGGGATCTACTTGCTCAAGACTCATGTGCAACCTGAAAGTGTTCTCTATGTGTCAAATCAGAGTGCTACAAGGATCCTACCTGCCTTTGCTGAGCGCTTGGAGTATTCAAGGGAAGGGAAGCAAATAGTGATAACTCTGCACAACCTACAGGAGAACGACAGTGATAACTATGTCTGTGCTGAGGAGGTGAAATATGTAAAAAATACCCGTCTCCTCTCAGCAAGTGGCACCATGGTGCTGGTTAAAGGTATGTTCCTCTTGCTTGTTTGATTATAGCTAACTATAGGCATGTTGTAATGCAAAAGGTGGACAAGAAGCTTGCAGAAATCTAGTGAGGACAGGTAAAGCACTAATCCCTGGGTAGAGCTCATCCAGTACCTGGGAGAGTTTGGAGAGTGGGCTCAGCCTCATGAATGTCCTGTTATGCCTGGAGACAGAAACAGGCACTGTGTTTCTACCTGCCTTGTACAACCAACCAGAGGGCATTTCAGAAGAGAAAACTTGCTATAATCCTGCATCTTAAAAGAATTAAAAAAGACCAAAATAAGATAACAAACATTTCAGTGCATGCGTGAATAATCTGTCAGTTTTAGGATGTGAATAAGTATTTTTAGCAGCAGCTCTTTGATCTTAATGTGACATCAATGTCTTTTAGAAACAATTCCCGATAGCAAGTCTTTCTGTTTAAAAATAGGTCACACTGGGGAGCACAGAACAAGTCCTCAGGCATGTACTTCAAGCCCCACAGACCATTATTACACACTGAGCACTGTGTGTGCTCCAAAGAGGGGTTTTATTTTTCTGCAAGATGGTGCTGTCACCATTTGCTAAGCTGAAGACAGAACCAGAAATACAGTGCTTGATTTTGATCTTACTGGTGCAGTTCAACCCTGGGCATTGGGCTTTGCTGAGGTCTTTGCAAAATAAGGTTCACAAAGGCCCTAAGAGCTGCCCAGGATCTCCCTGCAGTCTGCAAAGACGGCTGTGGTCTCATTCTGTGCTGCCACCCAAAACGGGGGTGACAGCTCAGCAAACTGAGCTGGGGAGAATGACAGCAGCACATCAAAGCAGCAGGGTGATTATGTTATTCAGATATGGATCAGTTGAGGTTTTAGAGAGCTGGAACCCTTTCCACTAGCACTGTTCTGCTCAGGGGAGTGCGGCAAATCACAGAACCCTCCTGCTTCTGTCTGTACTGCTCACAAACTGGCTGTTAGACAATTCCTTCTGAGCCCTCAGAATAAAGCATTTTCTCTTCCCATCACGAGTGTGTGGTCCTACTTCTGCTCAGTGGTGTGGCAGCTTTTGCCTTTGTAGAGTGCTCCTTGCTGACCCTTCACATGCCACCTGCAGTCATCGCCAGCCTCTGGAAGAGCCCAGGGGATGCCACTGAGAATACTGATGGAATGACAAATATGGCTGTGTAGCTGTTGATATCTGATTTTTTTTCTTGACCTGTAAACAATTTTTTTCAGAATAAAAAGAAAATTCTACCTTTTAATAATAATACTGATACTACTACTACTAATAATATAATTTTATATGCAGAAGGGGAGCAGACATACTCCCAGAAGGCATGCAGTGATAGTTCCTGGGTCATCTATTCTCTCCTCATCGTGGTGGCACTACTGTTTTGTGCACTGGTGTGCTGCACCTTGTACCATGTCAATGTAAGTATGCTCTCACCATGCCAAAGCAAAAGTGTGTCCAGGTTGAACAAATTATTTATAAACAGGGGCTGAGTGAAGCAAACTTTTGATAAACCTTAGGAATCGTGGATTTCTATTGTTTCCTATTTGCCTTTGTTTAATGTCTCCCAGCTGTAAACTCTTGCAGTAAACACAGTGTTTTATGTTTCTGTAACTCTTTGTAAATGAGGTACTGTTTGCCTTTTGATAACAAACCTCAAGTGAGCCACATGGTGAACAACACAGCCATGTGTTGTATGTACCTCCCTGGACAAAGCATCTCAAAGTCCTTTATTTAAAAACTTTATGTGAATTGGGACTGGAGCTGTACATAGTAACCTCGTTAGAGATGTGAGGGAATGTTTGGAGAGGGACACAAGGGCAAAAAAAAGTCATAAATAGCCTGATGTCTGAAAGTAGCACTAGGAGAAAAATTTTACCTCGTTCTAGAAAAAAAAAAATCCTAATTTTTTTTTCCTTTACTGGGATTATTTATATTCATATACTGCAGAAAGTGCCCAGAAATTTTTTGTCTCTGATAGATTCTCCTGCTCCATAAAGATTACTGAAAATTAACAGTGTATGATTCACAGGCTCCTGTCTTGTCCCTCCACATGTGGCTTCAGCACTGCAAAAAACCAGTAGTGCAACATCATTCTGTCAAAGCTCAGTGGCCCTGTGGGAACTGGTCTCTCATGTCACCAGTAACAGACTAAGAATGAGCCTTATTTCTGTAGGAGCTGCAGTTACATCCAACTCCTGAAGGAACTTTTGGTGAAATTGCATCAAACTGACAATAGAAAGTTAAATAAATAGGTTGAAAATTTCCACTTGGTCCTCTAAAACCCCACTGTGTTGTGAAAGGAATTTTTAAAGTACGTTTCCTCTTCCAAGAGATAGATTCCTAAAGATGTAGATGCACTCCTAAGATGAAAATTGACTCCTTTGGTGGGGTCCTTTTCCAGGTTCTGTTCTGAATGGCTGTTTTCCTTGGTTTGCAGACAAAGAAATACTTCCAAAAAAACCCCCCAAATGTAGTTTATGAAGATATGTCTTACAGTTCTAGACGGAACACACTGGTCAGAACCAACACCTACTCCAGGGGCAGTGAAGCTTAAGCTGGGACCATCAACATCAACTTTACAGGTCTCTCTGAGAGCTGCTTCAACAATCTGATGCAGTAGTTGAACTGAAAGTGCTGTCGCCCACCTTTTTCAGTGGAAAGAAAAAACTAATTTCCAAAGCTTTTTTCTGCTTTTTACATTTCTTTTTTTTTTTTTTTTGGTAATGTATAGAAAATATAGCAAAATGCAGGCACCTGTACATGTGTCTGCAGTTCAGAATGAAAAGCAGGATTTTTGGACTGTGCATTTGGCTCGATGCATCATATGGCCTCATTTCTTTGATAAATAACCCTTTCAGGGAAGGTGGGATGAATGGAGAGGTCTGGTTCTGAGCTTTGGTAAGTGCTCAGAAGAGTCTGTTCAATAACTTGTACTGGATCCACGTATGCAAGGATTACAGTTCTCTCACGAATCCTTGTGGGTCTGCCCAGGAGCTCAGGGAGCTAAAACTACTCAAAAATTACAGCAGGGAAATGTGTTCTGAGCTGAGGAGACTTCAGAAATGTGGCAGGGTGCATCACAGGTGAAGTGCTGGATACGTGTGGGCTTACCAAGGTCATAACAGTCCCATGAAAACTCAATCAAGTCTAGATTTTAACTTACTGCCTTTGTCAGAGATACCAGCATGACTGGTGTGGGTCTTGACATGGTTGACAAGCAAAGTGACCAGACTTGGGGCATGGTGGCTTCTTGGGACAGCAGAAATGTTTGTGATGTACTGCTGATGTCTCCAACTCCACATGTCTTAGGGCCACCCAGCAGAATACATTTCTCCAGGTCAGTGACTCCACACCTTCCAACACAAGGTGAAATAATCTGGGATACAGCCAATGCCTGCATTCCAATGTGGGCGTGGGTGGGTCTGATCTAAAAATCCTTCTTATCAAAGAAGGAATTTATCCAAACTCACATCAATCAAGTGGAAGCTAGATTTGGTTAGAACAAATCTCAAGATTTGGTTTAGTAACAGCTTAGAACAGGTCTCTCCAGGGAGCTCAGCTGAGGGTGTTTGGTTTTGCAGAGCTGGGGCTGCTGGGGAAAGTCAACAATGCCCAGAGGAATGTCGAGTTGCTCTGTTACAGGGCAGGATTGATGGGGTTGGTTTGTGGTTTCTGAGAACAGGCTGAGGCTGGAGTTTTTTTCTATTGATGTTTATTTATTTTTTTGAGGGATTAGCATCAGTTTGCCCGTGATGAGTGAGTAGCTGGAGCGGAGCAAGGCACAGGGGATCCTTCCTATCCAGACCTGAGCTCTGCCAAGATCCCAGCTTGCCAATCCAGTCCTGCCCCTCAGGAGAGCCCATTTCCCTCCAGATATTACTCATGAAATGCTGTGCACCAGACCTGAGGGGGAAATCTGCTCCCTGGGGTGGTTGGGGTGGGAACGGGTTCACCTTTGAACAAAGAGGTGCCATCTTCACATGGCCATACCTGAATAAAATTGGTTTTGTGATGTACAGTTGCTTGATATTTTTATACCTATATTAAAAACTATGTCATGTATCTTGCAAATAAATGCTGGTTATTGAATGGACTGTTTCTATCAGTGTTTTGTTGTTTGGTTTGGTTTGTTTGTTTGTTTGTTTTAAATGAGGATTCAAAGGCTTCTTGCACAGTACAGTATAAATTGCTCCTAACAGCACCACAATAAACAACATAATAGGTATTTTCCACTTTAATCACACAACCTACATGTGGGGTTTTTCTTTTTAAAACTAATCAACAAAGAAAATACCAAGGAACACTACAGACAATGAATATTCCATGTGTCTGAGAACGTTTTTCCAACACTTCTTGAACTCTGGTGGGCTTGGTGCTGTGACCAATTCTGACTTTGTCCCTGGGCAAGCCCAGCTCAGGGGTGGGTGAAGAGCTGGGGAAGAACTAACAAATTAGGTGCCAATCCAGGAACCAAAGTGCTCATAATCCTGTAGTCGATCACTTTTCATTTCATTTTTGGAAAAAAGATGCAGGTTTAGTAGAAAAGGGTAAAACCTCTGAGAGGCAACACACAGAGGTTCACAATGAGCAAAGTGACATTCAGGATCAGCTTTCTGTAGCAACACCACTGTGCAAACACGACCACAATTGTGAAATAAAAAAACAAGCTGTGAAAGGAAACAGTAGTGGAGGTGGTTTCTTTGGCTTGGTGTAAATAAATTTAAAAAAAGAAGTAACACCTCGCTGAGGAAAATGACACAAAGTGAGATGTGTGATGGACTGTAAGTGTGCAGGGGTAGACAATCAGCACCACAATTAACCCAAGCAGTGGTGAATGAACTGCTGGGGAAATTAGCTCGAGTGCCAAGGTAAGGGTTGGGTGTTTGGCTGCTCAAGAAGGTCAGAGAGGGCTGAAGATGCAGTGTGGTCTCAAGGCTTCCCTGGAAAGCAGCCAGACTGAAATTTTCATGCCCAGAGCTGCAGACAGAATTGCTCTGGGTTTATTGTGTTGCCTTTGCTGTTTTTCTGTTTCTTGTCCCCGCACTCAAGAGGGAAATAAAGTCATTTCCAAGGAGAGGTGGGAAGTGCAGGGTAAGGCTCTGAGACTGGGAGAGGACCCACAGTGATGAGAATGGTATTGGGGTACTAATGAGGTCCCCACCCCATTAATGGGATAAATGACAGGAATTGCATCTGGGAGCAAAGCAGCCTCAGATGGGGAGCAGAGCTGCAGCTCCAGTATCAGAGTTTATGGAACAGGGATGGAGCAAGACAAGGCAGCTGGGCAAGGACAGTGTGTCAGAAGCAGGGAAAAACCTAACTGGCAAGGTATGAGTCGTGTGAAATGATTCAGGGGCCAGGTCTGGATGGAGTGGCCTGGGCTGAGTGCTTGGGAAAGGGAGGCCTCATCAGAAAACTGGAGAAATCAGCCAGCATATGTAGATTAGTGCTGAGGGAGCCCATAGAATCAGGGAAATTTAACTGAGGAAAGCATTTTAACCTCTTGACTAAGGTGTGTCTGACAAGGATGAGCCTGAACTCAGATGCCAGGGAGGCTGATAAGCCAAGCTGACCCCCAAAACATTTTGCAGGAGGGTGGTATAACGGATAGAAGTAGGTTCTCCTCTTGAGGCTTGTGATATATTGTAGGAATGTTTCCAGTGACTATCCTGCAAACCAATGTTTGTGGCAGTTGTGAATGCCACCTGATGTGTGTCTGAAGCCTTTGCTGGGCATTGTCTGGAATCAGTTCCTCCCACCTGTCTGTTGCTGACTGCTGCTTGTGACTATTCTTCCACCCAATAACTCTTGCAGGAGACATTCTATTAATATAACCAAATGAGGTTATCAGGACATAACCAAAATATGTCCAGCACTGCTGGTTCTAGTGAAGACAAGCCACTGACTGGTGATTTCTCATGGTCTCTGTGTTAGTAAAGAAACTATTTCCATTCCCAGCATGCAAGCTTTTGCAAGCACTTGTTTTCCAAAACACTTAGTTTCTTTTTGAATGTTTTATAACACTCAACTTGCAATATCATATTAGCAGTCAGCTCACAGTCAAGCTGAAAACGTGCAGGGTTTTTTTCTGGTAGTTCACAGATTTGGTTTTCTCACAGTTTAGAGCTCTGAGGTGCTGAAAATGCCTTGTTGGTGCCATTTCTTTAATCTGACATATTTGGTTAATATGCTTTCTTCTGCTTTTACTGCTTGACATTTAAATGTAACAGTATTTATGTTGTTTTGCATGGTTATTAACACTATTTCAAATCCTTCACTAACAAGTGGACACTGGCTATGTTCAACATGCAAGAAATCTTCCAAATTCCATTTAAAGTCTCAACAGGTTTTAATTTACTTCTAAGTAAATCACTGATAACAGATTACTGCTCTTAATTCTTGTATAGCTAGAGCTATATAGTGTATATAATAGTCTCAGACAGAGACTATATAATAGTCTCACATAATTTTTTCATTTAGGAAATCGAAATAGAACAACCAGCCTAAATATTGACCAGAGGGAATGAATCACTTTGTCCTAACATTAAAATTTTAAAGTGCTGTCATCATCTTTCTCATACAAGTAGATTATCTGTCCAGCTTAAGGATGGGAGGTGACTCCACTCTGTATAAATAACTGCTAGTAGGGCTGAATGAACTCTCTGGATGGTGCTAATCCTGTGTATCTACTTCACAAAAACAATTATTTTGCTTTTGGGTGGTATTTGACTGCAACAACTGACTGACATACGTCTGAAGCTCTCCCCAGAGAACATGCCCATCTCCCCAGAGAAGATTTCCACCTGAGATATTAGAAATTATCTGCTACACCCTTATGCTTCTGACTCTAATGGGAATGATATTTAAACATTGGAGATGCCAAGTGGAAGCTGCTCCCTCATTCCTTCTGTGAATGAGTATGGATAATTAGTAACTCCCTGGGAAAGCCTTTAAGCTCATTCCTCTTAGCAGTTCATGACACCCTGAGACCTTTGGTCCATCTTCTCTTAACCCAGTGGAAAGCTACCCAGAATCACAGAATCACTAAGATTAGAGAAGACCCCAAGAACATCGAGTCCAACTCTTAACCCATCACCACTAAACCGTGTCCCCAAGTGCCACATCCACATGGCTTTTGAACATTCCCAGGAATAACGTGTGTTCCTTCAAGGAATCTGGTTGAGCTCTGGGGCTCAGGAGCCAGTTTTGCATCCACAATTCTGATAAGATGTGGAGGGCTAAATTACAGTCTTTTCTCATACAAGTTGTAAAAGCTTATTCTGGGGCTTCCTGTACAAGTAATGCTTAACCAATGTTAAAAATAATTTCATTCTCAGACGGCAGAATTTTTTAGTCTGCTCTGATATGACAGGAAAAAAAAAAGAGAGCTTTGTGTTCTGGGGTCTTTTTCTCTGTGTGTATTGCCTTACAACTCTGAGACAAGTCTTTTGAGAAACCACTAAGACCATTTCATGCTTGTGGTTTGCATCTGCATTGTTATCTCTAACCAGAGACACAATTTAACAGCGAGCTTCTGGGTGAGTGACATTTAAGGTATATAGAGATGGCATTTTGCACAAATGTCCCTGATTTCTGAGAAATAAGATTATTTTAAAAACTCTGTAACATCCCTGTGAATTTCTCTGTTACTCTCTCATGCACTGTAATGCTAATATTGGAAGCTTTTGTAGAGAGTCTCCTGAAAGTGATGGCAGTCAGTGACTAAACTCTAACAGTTTTTGGACTCAAAACTC